ACCACAGGAACCTTGTTAGTATGACCATGTCATGCTAGAATTCAACCTAATGAAAACACAAGCAATAGAACATAACGATAGCAAAGTCCTAGATTTTAAAAGAGTTGATTTCAACAAACTCAGAGAGAACTTGGGAAAGATTCCTTGGGTGAAAATCCTAAAGGGAAAAACAACAACCCGTGGGAGCTTCATCACTGGAAGCTTTCAAGAAGAGATTAGACTGCCAACGGTGTGTCCTACTTGGGTGGGGGGTTGGACTAGAGGACCTACAACACAGGGGTGTCAAACTGGATTTCTTCCAGGGTCGGATCAATATTGTAGTTCTTCTTTTTGGGCCGGTGGCCGGGGGACCTGGGGGGAGACAGGACGGACACCTCCTGCTGGCCAAAAATAGGCCTGGGGCCCACGGTGCCTCTGATATTCTGCAAAGTAGGAGTGAAAAAACATTGGACAGGAGAGAGGAATGGTGGGCTGCAGTGACTCTCTTAGAAGAAAGCAATGTCGAGAGAATGTAGTGCCCGTCTCTTGAAGGCTGCACACCCTGTTTAAAAACGAAGGCACCGAAAGAGGCCTGGAACCGGGTCTTCTGTGCTGTTTGAGTGCTTGAATCCAAGGCGGGGAACACCAGGGGCTGAATGGCAAGAGCCCTTTGGAGCAAAGAGCCAGAAGCCGGAGGGAAGAGAGCTAAGACATCCGAGGCTGCCTTCTTCTCTTTTAATCCTGGGATGAATGCAGTTATTCAAGGGTGATAAATAAATAGCTGAATTTGGAGGGCAAATACAAATTAAAATTTGTAGAAGTCACATAACAAATTTGTAGATAATTCCCATTTTCTAACAGCATCGTTTGTATGTTTCTTTTCCTTCTCCTTCAACCTCTCTGAAATGGAAGTGATACTATCTTCTATCCAGCAGGGAAACATTCGCATTCATACTTTGCAATCACAATAATTTGAAATCTGCAGGCATTTACACCCAAAAAAACCTCAAAATATTTCAAGCATGCACAGAATATGGATATTGCCCATTGCCAGGATCCATAAAGATTTCCACGCCCCGTTGAGTTTCCCACATAGATGCAGGACTGTTCTGCTAGGCCTACTTGCATGGTTCCTGTGCCTAGCAGAAGGAAATGTCCTCTTGGCTAAGAACTGTGTTTCTGAAATCGCACTGCACTAGTAAGGCACTTTGATATCAGCAATGTGCAATGCAGCATTTTAATTTCTTGTGACACAGAACAGCTACCTCGGAGTGTGTACTGCAAGAGACAGTGCTGGGGCTGCAACCCCTTGTGCACACTACGGTGGAAGGTTTTCCTTGGTGATGCGGGTCATGTAGGGATTTGCGGCTCCAACTAGTTCTGTGTCTGTGTCTGTACTTATGCTGTGCGCATTTTCTTAAGTTCAACAATCCAGATATTCAGTACTGCCCTATGATTCTGACGGAGCTGAAATAGCCACTGTGAACTGTGGACAGAGATAAGTGAAGAATTATAATTAGACTTGGCAAGAATGCAAAGGCTGGTCCTGGAAATTATTCTAAGAGCGCTGTAAAGTTGCCATTTAAGTGATATGCACAAGTATATCAGATCTCTGTACCTGCTCCGGAGTCCCATGGGGAACTAAGCTTTGGGGGTCCAAAGCTCAAGTACATCTTAAAAAACAATCCATAGCAACTCTTTGTGTCTGATTCAACAGCTGCTGTGAAGAGGCCAATGCCCCTGGGCTCCATTAACCAGGCACTAGCTAGGCCCTGAGAGAAGTGGGCAAGACTCAGTCCTCTCAGGGTGGGTCCATGGGGGCCACGAGAGAGAATGGTGCTCCGCAGGTCTCTCCTCGGCACAGCTTGCACTGCACGCTTCCCTGGGTAGCGCCTCCTTTTCTTCCTCCCCCACAGAAGAGAAGCCATGGATGGGCTGCTATGAACGGCTCCCTTCCATTCCCAGGTTATGCGCGTTGCTTCATCCACGGCCGGAAACACATCGGACGCTCCCAAAGCCCTTTCAATGCTTTCAGAGGCAAGTGTGGCTGAAGCCACCAAGACCTTTCTGACTCGAACCTCCTTGCAGAAGCCAGAAGAGGAAGCCAGGAAGTGTGTCCTGAGCTCCGAGAAACCTCTCGTGTTGGTCCCAGCTCAGCTCCTGGTGCTGGGCCAGGCTGGGGTCTGAATCGGCTCTTCTGAGAGGTCACAAGTGGCACCGAGGGTTAGCAAAGGAGCCGCTGCCCTTGAGCCTTGAGCAGAAAGCAGTGGAGGGTTTTCGCTGGGAAATTGCTCCTGGCAGGAGAAGCAGCCCAAGGTGAATGCCCTTCCCTTGCCAGCAGTTCCTGCTCTCCTTCCAGGTCGCAGGCAGGCTTGGCCAGGCCATTCACCCTCCCCTGCCTGCAAAGAATCCCCTTTCACCCCCACCCCCACAGCCCTCACTTGGCTGCTCTTCCTGGTGTGCAGGACTCTTCCGGGTGGGTGAGGCGAGCAAACACCTCAGCTCCCTTCAGGCAATTTTAATCCACAAAGTGGCAGCTGAAACTATGAAATGTGATCTCAGCCACAGGGAAAGCCAATCTTTGTGCCGCAAGCATACAATCAAATATGCCTGTCCTTGTCTTGCCAGAGCAAAACTAGCAATATTTATAATACCAGAAAAGGAAGTATAATTGAACAAGGATTTGTCTGAAATGATATGAGGGGTTGGCCTAGACAACCTGTAAGGTCCCTTCCAACTCTCTTATTCCATCAGCCTAACAAGTAGCAGAGAATATTGAAAAAAAGAAGATAGGTGGTGTTTGTTTTCCATGTTCTTTTTTCCTCCCAGCCTGAATGTTTCTGTAAGTTTGAAATGGGTTGTCCGTTCATTCAGCAGAAATGCAGCAAACGACCCAGGAAGGCTTCCGCTGCTGGAAGCAGCTCTTTGGTTTGCTTCCCTTGACTGCATCTCCCAGGGTGGGTTTCTCAGAGGAAGGGGAGCCATGTTGCTTCCTCTTTGGGCCCAGAGCTTCAGAGCCCTGCCCAGCTCCTCCTGGCAACTTCTCAGACCACTGCCAACCTCCCCAAGGTGCCCTTTCCAGAGAAGCCCCGATGCAGCCCGATAGGGACCCCCTGCCTTTCTTCCCGACTGCGAAAGGCTGATCCCTGCCAGGAGTTTGGTTGGCACCATGCCGGGGGGGGGGGGCAGGCAGGGCAGACGGGCAGAAAGAGCAGGTGCCAACTTGAAGCCAGAGAAGGGGCCCTTTTCCAGGCAGCAGCTGCTGCTGTTTCTCTGAGGCCCCCAGTCGACCTCAGAGGCAGAGAACGAGTCCTGACCTTCTGTCTGGAAAGAGCCACTTCACTCATGCGGTGCCCAAGTAAGGATGCCAAAGATCAGGATGATGCCCATGGCAGCATTGGGGAGAGCCACCTGCACCGATCTGAAGCTCCTGTGGAGACCTATTAGGCCTCCTTGAAGGGAACTCTCTCTGGCTGGATCTTTCTTTCTCTTCTTTCTTTCTCTTCCTTCCTTCCTTCCTTCCTTTTGCCTGTCTGTCTTTGAGTCAGTCTCAACTCCTGGTGGCCACCTGAACCGGTTCCTGCAGTTTCTTGGCAAAGTTTTTGGCTGTCCGTTGCCTGCTTTCCAGGGCTGGGAGATTGTGATTGGCTTTGGGCCTCAGGACTAGAACTCAGTTTCCCAGTTTCTAGCCTGTTGCCTAACCAGGACGTCAAGCTAGTTCTCATTAAAACCGCCTGCATTTTTCTTCCATTCAGTCATGTCTGATTCTCAGAAGCTGCCTGGTCGTTCTTGGTGAGGTTTCTCAGAAGGGGTGTCATTGACTGCTTCCTAGGGCTGCGAATGAGTGACTGGCCCAAAGTGTCTTCATCACACACACACACACACCCCGTTCTCCCCCCCCCCCCCTTGCCTCAGCCAATTTCCTTCAGAAAATAATTTATTTTTATGGCCGCTTTTATCAGGGCTTCGCTTCGGTGTGCTGGTGAGCAAAGTACCTTTTGAAGTGAGCTTCTTATCAGTTTATGCAACGCTGTTGGCACGAGCAGAACAGAAATTAGCTCTGGGCGTTATCAGTTTGGTGAGAATGATTCGATGAGATTAGGAAAGGAACAGGGTGTGATAACAAGGAGGGGGGGGAGGTTGATCCACCAAAGAACAAAGTTCCCCAGGCCTCCTCTGCTTCCTCCCCCCCCCCCCCCCAGTCCTGTGGGGCGATGGGCAGAGAGGAGGGCCGATTTCTCCCTTGCAAGAACAGCATCCAATGGGGCCCCACTCGCGCCCCGTCCTCGCCCCTTCCTTGCACCAGAGCTGGGGGGGCTGCTGTGGTCGCCACCCCCCCTGCCTGGCTCCAACCCGAAGGCAACCTCGGGAGCTCCTTCTTCACCCCTTCCCTGAGCAGAGAGGAAGCGCAGCAGCCTCAGGGCCGGAGGTCCCGGGGGGCCCGCAGCCGCCACGCTCCCCAGAGCCCTCGAGCCTCGGGAGCTGAGCTGCAGGCGCTCCGGGAAAGTGACGTGGCCGCGGGCGGGGGGGAGACGCGCAGCCGGGCAGGCAGCTGAGAGGCGGCAGCGGCCCTTGAGCAACGCTCGGGAGGGTCGGAAAGAGGCAGCGCGGTTTCCTGTCAGCCGCCCTGAGGGGCCACCAGCGAAGAAGAGGCGCCAACCGAACCTTCCCAAGAAATAAGCAGAGCGCGGGGGGGGGGACCGGGGGGGGGGGCAGCCAGGCGCCTCCTCGGCCTCCCCATCGCATTCGGGGCAGGGTCGCCGCCTTCCCCCCGCAGCCGCCGGGCGAAGCCACGCGGGACACTCCCGGCCGAGCGTCGCGCGCTCCTCCTCGGCCCCGCCCGCCCGCGGCCCACGGCCGCGCCCACCGGAGGGGCCCAGAGGGGCGGCGGCGGCGGCGGCGGCAGCTCGGACCGCCCGCGACGCCGGGATCCTGCTCGCCCGACGAGGCGGCCGACGGGCCCGGCCCATCCCTCCCGCGCCCTCCGCGCCTCCTTCGGCCGGCCGCGCGCGCCCACTCACCTGCTCGGCCCATGGCCGGCCTGCGCTCCGACGGGGGCCCGGAGCCGCTCGCCCTCCGCTCGCTGGCAAGCCGGACGGGGCCGGGGCGTCCCTCGGGCGGCCGGCTGGGGGCTCGGCGTGAGGGGCCCGAGCGTGGCCGGCTGCTGCGTCACCTCGCGGGGCGGGCTGGCCTCTGGCGGGACTCCGGCCCGGCCGGACGTTGCCGAGCCAGACTGGGCCCGCCTCCCCGTCGGCGGCCAGGCCGCCACATCTGGAAAGCATCTGCGGGCGCCCCGCGGCCCTTGGGAGGGAGACCGGTCGGCCGCTTGCCAGGGACGCCGCGCGGAAAAGGCCTCGCTCCCCGCCTGGACGGTCGCAAAGAGCGACTCGGGCCGGACGGGGTTGAACGCGAGCGCCTCTGCCCCGCCAGCCCTTAGCAGCTCGAGAGCCCCAATGGGCGGCTTGTCTCCCTCGCCGAGACCCCTTCCGGAGGAGCCCCGGGGAGCGGCCTCCCCCTGAAGGGCCAGCAGCGGTCAGCAAGCCGAGCCGGATCCCAAGGGATCTCGACTAGAGCCTCCTTCCCCTGCGATCTCGTGCAGAGGCAAAGCCTGAGTACGATTTAGAGGCCGCCATCTAAGGCTGAGCAGAGCCTCTGGGCGTCAGGAGAGGGGCTGCTCGGGCCCAGCCTTCGGGGCACAAGGAGAGCAGGAACCAAGGCTGATGGAAGTGGGGCCAGACCTCTGCAACCCGAACTCTACCTGCCTGCCTGCTTGCCAGCAAGGAGTGGGAAAGGCTGGGGTTCCTAGTGGTTCAAGGGCCCAATCCTAAAAGAGGACGCTCCACATCACCCCCACCCCACCCCTCGCTGAAGACCCCTGGAGCACCAGAAGCCGGAGCCTGGAATTCAAACACACTGTGCAAGTTGCACCCAGAAGGCAGCCCCACACAACCCCCCCAACAGGCTGTTCTGGGCACCTTCTCGTGAGAAGTGGCTGCACGCGCTGGAGAGCAGCTGCCCAGCCTCCCAGTGCCTTCAGGTGGAACAGAAGGCCAGCAGAGGCTGGTAAAGGCCTATTGGTTGCCCAGTTCCTCCCCCTCTGAGTTGGCACTGCCATTTCCCTGCCTGGCACAGCCTGGCCCCTGGGAACAGATGGACAAAGGCCACCCTGCTGTGTCCCCAAGGTGAGGGATGATGGGAAGAGTCAGTTGCCCAGCAACGCCGGGAATTGCTGTGCGGCCTGACTGTTTTATGGGCTCCGGAGAGGGCTCAGCACTCTTCCCTCAGGGTGCACTGGCTGTGGAGTAAAACTGAGCAGCTGCCTGCCACTCCTTGCAGAAGGTGGCACCTTCATCCCGCAAAACCGTGGCTGCTGGAGCCAGTTGTGCTCTGCTGCCTTCACCCGCCAACCCATCCTAAGCCCAGAGCAAGCCCCCTCCCCCGCCCTTGGTGAGGTGCCCGGAGCTCAGCCCTCTTCCCTTTGGAGCACCCCCCCATCGGCTCCCCCCAATAGTACATTTTCAAAACAGGAAGTCTGACAGCCGAATTCCCACCTGAGCCTCCGCAGACCTCAGTCAGAGGGCAAACTGGACTTGCTTGATGGAGGAGACGGTCCCATCTGCCTCCCCTCCGTCCTTCGGTCCCAAACGCTCCTGGCAAGGAGTGTCTTGTGGGTGAAGCCTTGGGCTGGCTCAACTGGTTTGGGCACTCAAGTTGTGGCTTTGGGGAAAGGATGACTATCAGGAAACATGAAGTGGCCTATTGCTAAATCTCCCCCTCCGCCCTCCCTCCCTCCCTCCCTCCCAAGACGCACCTCTAGGGATACTCCAGGATTCCCTCATTACGGGAATTCCCTCAGCCACCATCACTGGATGGCAGTGATGGTGGCTGAGAGCCATTGGGCCTCCTGGGCTCCTGCATAAGGCCTTCCAGCCAGGCAAGGGGGGAATCCCCTGGCCTGCCGTGATTTTATTTGTTTGTCAAACATGTACAAGACAACAAGTATTGGTGTGAACATGAACATAAACAAAGGGAGCAAATACAGATAAATGGGGACAGTAAGACAGGGACGGTAGGCACGCTGGTGCGCTTATGCACGCCCCCTTTGGGAATGGGGTGAGGTCCACGGTAGCCAGTTTGAGGTTGGAGCTGTGAGGGGTTGAGGCTGTAACAAAGGAGTCAGGGAGGGAGATCCAGGCATCATCGACCACTCTGTTGCCGAAGTCGTATGTTCTGCAATCGAGTTTGGAGCCGTTTACCATGAGTTTGTATCGATTGTGTATTATTGTGGTTGAAGCTGAAGAAGTCTTTGACAGGCAAGACGTTGTAGCAGACAATTTTGTGTACTGTGCTTAGATCGGACCACAATTGGCGCAGTTCCAGATTGTCCAAAGCCAAAATTTCAACCCTGGAGGCCGAGGGAATTCTATTGCGAGTAGAGGAGCTCTTCTCCAGAAATACCTCTGGACCTTCTCAATCGTGTTAATGTCCGATATGCAGTGCGGGTTCCAGGCGGGCGAGCTGTATTCAAGAATTGGTCTGGCAAAAGTTTGTATGCTCTGGTTAGCAATTCAATGTTACCAGAGAAGAGAAGCTTCGCAAAATAAGATTAACACCTCTTAATGCCTTTTGGGCAATGCTGTTAAAGTGAGCTCATTTGAGATGAGGACTTCTAGGTCCTTCCACCCAACTTGTATTTGGTGTTCTGATTTTTATTGCCAATGTGTAGGACAGAGCATTGATTAGTTGAAATTTGGAGTTGCCAGTTACACAACCATTCTGACACATAGTCAAGATCGCTTTGTGGACTGGTGGGAGGGGAGAGCAAATGGTTTCATACAAACGGCAAGTGTGGGCTTGCATGTTTTTTTTACAACAGAGCAGAATTTCAGAACACAAGATTATGACTTTCAACTCAATTAAAATGCCACAGGATGAGGCAAGCTACTATGTCATTTCCACATTAATATACAGCTTACAGCAACATTTTTTGGATACTTTGCAAAGAAGCATCTCATTGGCAATATAAGTATTACTGGATAGCAAACCCAGATCACATTGGTGGGGGACTTGGCACCCACCTTCCTAAAAGATCCTTCCAGCCAAAGCTACACAATAAAACAATGAAGAATGACCCTCACAAATATAAACAATGCTTCTAAATACAGGCTAAAGGCCACAATCCAAGTTAAACAGAATGCCAGGAAGATCCTGGCAGTTGGATCATTTTCATATTTTGCTTCCCCCCCCCCAGCTGGAATAACTCTTCACGTGTAGTGAACTTAAAATCCCCTAGTTAGAAAGTGTCAAGAGTAAATATTTTCATGTGAATTTCGATCTAGCCCCCCTACTATGAATGCAGTTTGGCTGCACATTCCCTCTACCCTTTAGAATAAAGATCAGTTTATTTGACCTGAAGGAGCCACATCTTGTCTCAGCACAGAACTGGTGGAGGGCAAAGGGTAAAATCTATAAATTTACTTCATTTGAGACCCACCTTTCTCAGCCATGAAGGAGCAACACCCTGTTTTCCCCCCCACACCAGTTGGATGATTGTGTTGCTGTAAAAACAACTGCGGAACTGGTGCTTACAGGCTAATTGGACACAACGGGGTTCTGGCTGGAAGACTGCCTGGGCAAGGAGCCAGGAACTCGGGCTGTGATGGGATCATCTGGAATCCATTGGCATCCTCTTGTTTTAGAAGAGTTGGTTTCAGGAGGTTCAGATCTACAGTTTTCTCCCAGTTTCTTAAGCTTCCACATGTCTGGCTTGTGGATAAAAGGACTAAATGCACTCACAATAGCAACAGCCCTTAGCAATAGCACTTAGACTTATATATCACTTCATAGTGCTTTACAGCCTTCTTTAAGCGGTTTGCAGAGTCAGCCTCTTGCCCCCAACAATCTGGGGGTCCTCATTTTTACCCACCTCAGAAGGTTGGAAGGCTGAGTCAACCCTGATCTGCTCGGGATCAAACTGCTATCAGTGGGCAAAGTCAGCCTCCAGTACTTGACTCTAGACACATTTTACCGGCTGTGCCACCACAACAATGTCGCCTAGTTGGGCAGTCGTGAAACATCTGCAAGGAAACCACCCAGCTCAGAGAACACCAAGAACTTCACAGTTCAACCCGGAGGTGCTGAGATTCTCTTCTCTTGGAAAGAGAAACTTCATCGTGATCAAGAACAGGAAGGACCATCCTATAAAGTTCTACGTTTCACTGTGCAGAAAGAAAGACACAAAAGGTTTGGCTTGCCTTCTGGTCTCGAGCTGTATTGGCCGGTGTTCTTAAATGCTGAAGATGGCAAACGTACAGTATATCCTGCTGAAACTTACACAGAAGTAAAGCACTGTCTACGTTAGAGACATACAATATTTTCTCATTCAAAACTTGTCCAACAAAATGGCAATCCAGAGCTCAAATCCTGCTTGCTCAGGACCAATCATCATCTGTGGGGCCTTTGCCCATGACTGGCCCACTAGGGTACAAAAATCCTAATTTGTTCAATGGCCACGATCTACCTGGGTTCTTAGATTCTCATCCCTGCTGGCTTGTGAAGACTGCCCGGACAAGACAGTTATTTGGGTCCATTCTGTAACCTTGGGTTCACTGGTGGGGTGTTCCCGCTACCTTGAAAAAAACAGTGGCACGGCCCTCTCCACAAGAGGCTGGATCCAACTATACCACACAATTTTCACCCAGTCTCCAATCTTCCATTTTTAGGGAAGACTATTGAGAAGGAGGTGGAGTTAAAACCCCACAGAAGGTCCTGGGGAAGATTATGATCTGGATCCTTTTAGTCAAAGCTCAGACACACTATGGAGTTGGTGTTGCTCATATTAGTGGATGACCTCTGGTGGAGTTAGATGGAGCAAGGATGGAGATACAACCAATTTGGAACTTTTTGTTCCTAAAGTGGTTTCCAATACCACTGACCAGAGTCACCTTCTGGCCCACTGGGGGAATGAGAGGATGCTGCTGCAGTGGTGGTTCTCCTTTCTCTGTGGTTGGGTCCAGTATGTGTTCTCTCATGGGAGCAATCA